ATTAAAACACAATTTATAGTTTTCTTGATTAATATTAATAACAACAACAACAACAATAATAATAATATTAACAATAATAATAATAACAATAGTGATAATAACAACAACAATAATAATAATAACAATAGTGATAATAACAATAGTGATAATAACAAAGTGCCAGTAAAGACAATTTTATATAAAAAAAAAAAAAAAAAGATTTTATGCTTTACAATTTTTATTTTGTTCTATTTAATTATTATTATTATTATCCATTCATTTTCTTTTTGGCTTAGTCCCTTTATCAATCACGGGTCGCCACAGCAAAATGAATCGTCAACTATTCCAGTATATGTTTTATGCAGCGGATACCCTTCCAGCCGCAACCCTTCACTGTGAAACACTCTTTCACGCACATTCTTCAATTCACCCAGCACATGTCTTTGGACTGGGAGAAACCGGAGCACCCAGGGGAAACCCATCCGAACACGGGAGAACATCCAACTCACAGAAATGCCAACTGATCCGGTGACCTTTTTGCTGCGCTACCCACGGGACACTGTGATGCCACATTATTATTATTATTATTGTTATTATTATTATTATTATTATTATTATCATCAATTTATTAAAGACACATTAAATTGATCAGAACAGTTTGAAAGTAGGACATACCTGGCATAGTTACATTTTGCAAAATACATTTAATTTAATTAAAATTTTAGTTTTAATTAAGCTTTAATGAGGACCTATTTTAAAATGTAATTTATTCCTGGAGTTCAAAGCTGAATTCTAATATATTGATACAGTTGTAGTCAGAATTATTACAATTTATTTAACTCATCTCTAATAACTGATTTATTTTTTATCTTTGCCATGATGACAGTAAATAATATTTTACTGGATATTTTTCAAGACACTTCTATACAGCTTAAAGTGACATTTAAAGGCTTAACTAGGTTAATTAGCTTAACTAGGCAGGTTAGGGTAATTAGACAAGTTAGTGTATAACGATGGTTTGTTCTGTAGAAAAATATATTGCTTAAAAGGGCTAATAATTTTGACCTTAAAATGGTTTTTAAAAAATTTAAAAACTGCTTTTATTCTAGCCAAAATAAAACAAATAAAACTTTCTCCAGAAGAAAAAAACATTATCAGACATACTGTGAAAATGTCCTTGCTCTGTTAAACATCATTTGGGAAATATGAAAAAAGCAAATAATTTTGACTTCAACTATATACTGTTTCTACTATATAATATATATTACTAACCTTAAGAACACAAAATTGATCAAAAATGTCTGTTAAGACATTAATAAGAACCATTTTATATACTTAAAAAGGTCATTTTATGTAATGTTATTTTATACTGCATGTTCATCAAAAATAAAATACAGAATTTTATTATGGTTTCCACAAATATTTTACCTCAGAATTTTATATTCTGATATTAATACCATATATTATTAACTGATCACAATAAAACAGCAAAAATGTTTAAAAAGATCGTGTGATCAAATATCTTGACATACAAAGTAAATGAATATTACTTACCTTATATTTATTTTTATAACTAGTGATATTGATTCTGAACTTGTACATCTCTGCAGCACCAAATAAATAAAACACAATTTGTTGATTAGATCTGTATGTGACCCCATGACCAATAAGAATTTGATCAAACTTTATTTTAAGGTACAATTCTCCCTATTATTAAACCTTTAAGTATGACTTTGCCTCAATAAACTAATAGTTAATAATGTAAGTTAGGTTTAAGCATTGATTATCAATGCAGAACTGCCAACTTTATAATAAACAACCAATATCTTTAGAACAGCCATTTAATAAGCCACTAGTTATTTGTTAGAATTTTTAATGTCTTACCGATTTTTTCAATATATCTTAGTTTAGTCTAATCCTGACATTTTCCGAAATATAAGACTATAACACTTGTACAAAAGTCATAAAAATCTAAATTGCATTTACAACCATTGAGCATGACAGTCTGTCTGCTACATTGTATACAATGTACAAATTAATGTCTACGGGAATATTAAATACTTCTTACACCCCCCCCCCCCCCTGCTCCCTTACAATAACTGGATATTTATTATTTAATTAATGAAATAGGGCACATAAGAATTGAGTAAAATCCTCAACCTCATAATCTGTGATCCAGTTAACCTTGGATAAATGTGACAGCAGAGATCAAACCACAAATGAAAAATGTTCATCAACACTTTCTTGGCAATTAAATTGTCCGCAGAAGCAGATTTAAAAGGCTGCTGCATTTCAATGGCTCCATTAACATATGTGAAATACAAGAGGAGGAGGAGGAATACAAATGAGCTTTAAGAAGAAAAACATGTGTTGCAGTTAAAGCAGTTTGAGCAGCCGTCTGTCACAGAATCCAGTACAGATGCTAACAATAAATGAACACCTTTAGGATATTAGGTTATGGCAATTATGTTCGTAAAGTGCACTGTTAACAAAATTTTTGTGAATTATGTTATCATAAAGTTGCATTGTGTAAAATGACAGTGTACACGTCTTCTGATGGCTACTTCCAGCAGGATAATGCACCATGTCATAAAGCGTTAATCATCTCAGACTGGTTTCTTGAACATGACAATGAGTTCACTGTACTCAAATGGTCTCCACAGTCACCAGCTCTCAATCCAAAGCACCTTTGCGATATGGTTGAACGGGAGATTCGCATCATGGATGTGCAGTCGCCAAATCTGCAGCAACTGCATGATGCTATCATGTCAATATGGACCAAAATCTCTGAGGAATATTTCCAGTACCTTGTTGAATCTTTGCCGCAGAGGATTAAGGCAGTTCTGAAGGCAAAAGTGGATCCAACTCGGTACCAGTTATGTGTACCTAATAAAGTGGCCTGTGAGTGTATTTTACAGTAAAGATATGCAATACTGTAAATACAGCAAGATAAATGATGCTGTCAATGTAAATACAGTATTTTTGCTGTAACTGACTCACGGTAGCTTACTGGCGAATAGAAACAGTGTATTTATACTAGTGAGTGAAAAGTACAACTCGGCAGTATTTCATACAAATTTAAAGTACTTAAAGGTGTATTAACATTTTCTGTGTCAGTAGTACAGGTATTGATCATCATAGAAATGTGGATTTATTAAGAAATGTAAACCTACACTAAAAAAGTGCTGTAAAATTAACAGTATTACTGGTAAGTTTTGGTTGCCAGTAATACTGTCCAATTTACAAGTGCTGTAACACTACAGAAGAGCTGTAATTGTTAATGTACACTGCGCTTGTGAATTTTGCCAGCAATACTGTAAAACTGCCAGTAATACCGAAAAAATTGCCAGTACTACTGAAAAATATTAGAAGTGCACCGTAAATTAATAATTACAATTGTGTTGTAAAACTACAGCACAACTGTTATTGTTAATTTACAGTTCACTTGTAAATTTTACTGTAATTTTTACCACATTTTTTTACAGTGTATTGCAGTTTTTTTTTTTGCTGTGAGTTTATATTTTGAATGAATTGACACACTTATGTTAAACTAAAAGTTTTTCATCTTTATCTTGAACATTATTAAGCATTCATTGTTGTGTCATAGAACAGAATAGAGCCTCTGTGTGAGTAAATGTCACACCATTTAAATTTTCCTGACAAAAATGTCCAGAGAACTTTGCATATAAAATCAGCCTTATCATAGGAACTGAAGAATTTAGGGGGTCTCTTGTTTTTAAAGCAACTTTAACCATTATATTTTACCCAAGAGTGATTTAAAACAACCCAGAAGATTTATATAGTACACTATATAGTATATTAAATTACATTTATCCAAATAACAGTTTTTTGTTGTAATATATTTTTAAATTAGGGTTAACCAGAAGTTATTGCTTTAAACATGGACGGGAGCTTTAGTATAATTTTTGTAATAATTTTTAAAGATATCACACACATATATGAGTGTGTGTGTGTGTGTGTGTGTGTGTGTAGGGGGGGGCATTGAGAGCAACATTGAATGACAGAAATACTTCTTGCAAAATTGATATCAGTTTCAGAGATTTGAGCAAATTTAGCCTTTTCTCCCAGATGGGTAAATGTCTATAGTACCAGAAAAAAATTATTCAGAGATGATTTCTTGGATTTACTCATTTTTTTACGTTAAGTGGTTGTAAACAATTTATTTATGTTGAATTTAAACAAACAAATTAAGTTAAACATTATTAAACTTAATTTGTTTGTTTGAATTCAACACAAATAAATTGTTTGCAACAGTTCTGCATGCAACACTTTTTTCATACCTGCAACTATTGTTACCTGTTCTCAAATATAAACATAATGACTTTTTAATCTGAAAGCAAACATTTACACGAAGTAAAACTTATTATGCAAAGTTAATTGGATTTTATTTGGTTTGAAACTTTTCTGAGTATAATGCTAGTTTTGTTTTGACGTTTTGTCAAAAGGAGGTCTTATAAATGTAAATGGTTTAATCAATTGCGTGATAACAATGTGGCTTATGTGCGATTTAAAATGTTTTATTATTATTTTAAAAATCTGTTTATATTTATGTAAAAAAAGGTATAAAACACAGTAAAACATTAATAAATATTTATTTTATACATATTTACTTAGTAATGAAAAATTACTGATTATAAATACAATACACAGTGCTCTGCATATATAAGTACACCCATCACAAATCAATCTTTTAAATACATATTTTAATAGGAAGCTATACAATATTATATTAGTGCATATAGATTAGATTAGTCAGCACTGAAGCCAAATCTGGAGCTTATCTAACAAAATAACCTACAATAACGGTCCAAAAACTACAGCCAAATTTACATGTTATAGAAAAATATTTAATGCAAATTTAAAAATTAAGAAAAGTCAAGAGAAGTAAATAAATAAATAAATAAAATAAATTGAAAAATGAATAAAACATTTCAACAGTTTAGTTGAAAATTTATAGGTTGTAATTTTTTGTTCAATATTTTGCTTGAATTTAATTGTATTCTCTTTCAATTTCGAAATATGACAGGTGACCAAAATATTATTTTAATAAATGTATCTGTTTAATAAATCTGTTTAGTTTAAATGCACCAAAATACATTGCCTATTTACTGAGAAACTGAGACAAATATTAATTTTCAATTTAAGGGGTGTACTCAATTATCCTGAGCACTGTACATTTTTGTTCTAATAAAACAGCATTAGTCCATTAGTCTATAAGCTCTGAAATGTTTTCGCTCGTGTCCGTGTAAACTAGAGGTGTGTGTGGTGAAGCTGTACTGTAGTGTTCTGCGGTGGCTGTGTGTGTATGTGAGGTGAAGCGGCGCTGGCTGATGTTCACACGCTCTCCTCAGCACCTGGATAGCTCCGCGACTCCGCGCAAACCGAGCACTTTTGAGGCAAAAAGTGCACAAAAAACAACATGTAGCTTCTCAAAATAGCCTCCTACCATCCCGAAGCGTCAAGAAAGCAAACTTTCACACAGGGAAGTCTTCGTTACCGCCCTGATGAGGGAATTACCGGTTGACTGCGGCAAACTGTTCCCTACTGATGCGGGAATGGGAGGAGAAGCAAAACCGGATTTACTCGCCAACGAATATCATCGGATAGCGGATCTACTAGTCCAAGTGCAGCATGTGTTTAATATGTAATTAAATGTGTGCGGGAATGAGTGAAATATTCGTGGATTGATCTACAAATCATACATCGCAGCATACAGGTAGGTGCAACTCTGTCACTGATGATCCAGCTGTGCGTTATCAGATTCATTAAGTACTGTAATGAGCTTATACTGAAGAGACAAACACTGTCAGAGTACACTCACACTATTTCTGAGCATCAAAGTGCAGGATCATCAGTTTTTATGCTCACCAATAATATCATAGTGATGCCAGTTTAAGGGAGTAATGGACTATTTTTGGTTTTCTCTAAATATTTCATTTAAGTTCGAAGATGATGGCATTTTCTGCCATTATAAATAACCCAGTTAGCTCAATGGAAATGTTCAATAGATGTTTAATTTTATTCATGATTAATTAATGGCAACAAATAACCTTTAACCTGATTATTTTAATAGTAGGTTTACAGAAATAAACAACGGGTCAATTAATTTTACTCCGTACACTAAATAAATAAAGTAGTTACACTTTATTTCAGTGTACAGTTTACACTATTAACAAGCCATTACCTGAGACTAAACATAAACATTATGGAATTAGCTGCTTAATAGCTAGTAAGGTAGTGGTAGATTTGGGTAAACATTAAGGGTGTAGAATTAGAACATACTGAAAACAGCCAATATATTAATAATAGGCAGGTAATAAGCCAGTGGATAATATTGTGAATTGTCACTCAAACTAAAGTGTTATCTTTAAAACAAACAAACAAACAAACAAACAAACAAACTAAACTAACTAACTAAACTTTCCTGATGAGTCCTGCATTTGTATCATTTGTTTTTTAATTTTTTTGAGAACTCTATGAGCTGGAAATTTCATTGAGATTATTGATTAACCATTTCACAGTAATTCTTGGCAAAAAATTAGACAATAAAGCTGCTCGGGCAACGTGAACACAAAAATCAAATGTTATATGTTTGTGCTATGGTTCTTCATTTGCAACTGTAATCCAATAAAGAACCGTTCATAAAACCTTTCCATTCCAAAAAAAGGTTTCTGATAGGAGAAAAAGCTATTTAGAGTATAACAAAATTTTATCACACTTATAAAAACAAATGTATTTATTAGAATTAAAAATTATTGTGCTTAATAGCACTAAAAGTGGATATATGCTCGTAATTATAGGGCGACTATAATACCTTACCACCTGCATAATAATAACAGTGATATGTAGCTCTTTAACCAGCCAAAAGAACAACTAAAAACTATCCTTATATATACATCACTGAAATTATGAGCCAAAGAACCACTGAGTGGTGCTAAATAGCACCTCAACTACTTTTGAAGAACCACATCTGTGTCTATCTGTGTGTAAAGTATATTTAATGGAACCATTCCTTTGCTTAATTAGTTTTTAAAAAGTTCTGTATTTTTTTTCACTCAAAAATAATAATTCAACAATTTGATCTTTAATTACTACTTGGAAACAGTGGAGGAGGGGTATGATGTTATATGCTGTGAACTATACCTTTAAAATAAGCCTGAACAACATATCATTTGAGCTCTGATATTGCAATGTGTGTATCTGCAATAGTCACACTGCAGGATTAAAAGATATTGTTAATTAACTAATTAATTTTATTTAAATTTATATCTTGGGGTTTTGTTTACGTGTGAGGGACGAATGAAACGTGAAATTGACAGGCGGATCGGTGCAGCGGCAACAGATTTCAGTCGATGTACCGGTCCGTTGTGGTAAAGAAAAAGCTGAGCCGAAAGGCAAAGCTCTCGATTTAACAGTCATCTATTCATCTAAGTTTCTACTCTCACCTATGGTCAGGAGCTTTGGGTCATGACCAAAAGGACAAGATCTCGGATACAAGTGGCCGAAATGAGTTTTCTTCATGGGGTGGCAGGGCGCACCCTTATAGAAAGGGTGAGAAGCTCGGAGTAGAGCCGCTGTAGAGACACTGCCTCTCCACATTGAGAGAAGTCAGCTGAGCTGGCTCAGGCATCTGTTTCAGATGTCTCCTGGATGCCTACCTAGGATGGTGTTTCAGACATGTTGGGAGGAGGCCTCAGGGAACTGAGCTCATAAACTCCTCCAGAACTTAACCTGTATGACGGAGGCTTTCAGTAGTGCTTCTGACTGAGCAGAGCCCAGTTTGATGAACTGTTGTCGGTGTAGGCAGGATTTACCCTACGTCACAATCACGCCCCCACAAGAGCAAGCTCCTGATTGGTTAACGCGGCATAAATGTCCACTGAAGTTCAGATTTTCTAACTTGAGCGATTTGCGCAACACGCATATCAAACGCGCAAAACACTCAATTCGCGTTGCACAATTCGCATCATTCACGCTGCGCCATTCGCATGTATAGCGCCACAAGATGTCTATTCGCGTCTTTGCATTGACTTAACATGTAAATCACTCTCACTTAATGCTTCTTCCACGTCTGGTGACCGCAGCATAAGAATGCTGCCCCTGCGACCCGGCCCCGGATAATCGGAAAAAAATGAGTGAATGTATGAATTGTTTATTTATTTGTAGAATTTATTTAATGATTACAATGTTATTTTACAATTGATTGTTCAATTTATGCACTTAAGTAACTACTTAAGATTCAAGTACTAAAATTTTGGTCTTAAGTTCTGTAATGTTAGGGTGCTTTCACACCTGTGAATCGATTCAGTTGTTCCGAAACAGAGATTACAATTGTTACATTGTTGCTCTTTGCTCTTGGAGCGGTTCACCTTCACACTGCAAAGTTTCTAATCGGACCAAAAAGCTAAAACAAGTCACATGCGGGTAAACTCTCCTTACATTGGTCAGAGTGTCAGGGTTTATTTTGTAGCGTCCTGCTAAGCTGTCAGGAGAGGTGGTGGTTTGGTGGTGATTGAAAGGGTGCGCGCGCGACATGTCTGAGGAGAGATAATAATAATAATAATAATAATAATAATAATAATAATAATAATAATTCGTTACATTTATATAGCGCTTTTCTGGGCACTCAAAGCGCTTTAAACAA